AGTCCGGGGCCCTTGCTCCGGTAGCCACTGTGCCAGCCGCTTCTGTTGCCCGTGTGTCTGCAGCTTCAGCCGTCGTCTCCCATCTTCTCTCCTCTCACAGTCCCTCCTCCTCCTCACTTGCCCTCTGTGTTAGCCTCTAGCTTTGCTTATAATTGTGAACTACTTCTATGCCTGCTCATTGTGCTGATTACACCCCACTTTGGCTATGGGGGTGTGTCAGAATGTTATTATCTAGCCTGTAGTGGGGTGCTCTATAGCGAGTACAACCCAGTTAGGGTTTGCTATATGTATCCCAACTGCTGCTAGTGAAACTCCCCTTTATGTTTCTAAACTTTCTACTTCACTCATTCTGACACCAGGAACACCAGCACTAGCACCTCCAGGGCCAGCACCTCCAGTACCTCCAGCATCACATGTGCCTCCAGTACCAGTACCTCCAGCATGGTCAACTCAAGGAACACCAGCACTAGCACCTCCAGGGCCAGCACCTCCAGAACCTGCAGCTCCAGCACGTCCAGCGCCACCACCAGGACTGCCCCAACGGACAGCCCACTCGCGACGCCGCTCCGGCGAGAGAGGCTCATGGCGACGTGAGCCAGGACTACCCGCAGCAGCAACCACAGCAGCAGCACCTCCAGTACCTCCAGTAGCTCCAGTAGTCCCAGCACCTCCAGCTCTAGCAGTACGAGCACGGCTAGCTCCACCACCAGGGCTGCCCCACTGTACAGCCCACTCGCGAAGCCGCTCCGGCGAGAGATTCTCCTGCCGACGTGCACCAGTGCCACCAGCACTAGCAACCCCAGTACCACCAGTAGCAGAACCTCTAGCTCCAGCAGACCCAGCACCTCCAGCTCCAGCATTCCCAGCACCTCCCGCTCAAAGACGGCTAGCTCCATCACCAGGGCTGGCCCACTGGACAGCCCACTCGCGAAGCCGCTCCGGCGAGAGAGCCTCCTGCCGACTCGTACCAGGACCACCAGCACCAGCACCTCCAGTACCTCCTGTACCCAGAGGACACTCAGCACCCCCAGAACCAGCACCCTCAGAGTCCGCACCCCAAGTGGCACCACCTCATGCAGCACCAGAGTCCACAGCGACAGGCTGCAACGGCGGTGAAGACGGTCAAGGCGGAAACCCAGGAGGGACCGCCAAGCGCGCGGAGTAGCGAGGGGTCACTGTGGCAGCAGGAGTCGGGTCACCCCCCTTAGCTGGGCCAGAGGTGTCAGAGGAGACCTCGACTGGCTCAACCAAGGGGGACGGGTCAACCTGAGACACACCTGAGGGAGAAGGACCCTGCGGGGGGAGTGGGGCTACCGGGGGGGGGGTCGGAGACCAGTGCGAGAGGCGGGAGGGGCACGGGGGAACTGCGGTGGGGGTGGAGACGGTAGAAGCAGACAGAATCGTCTAAGGTGACGTCCTGGGAGGAGAGAACACGACGAGAACCCGGGTGGTAAAACTGCCAGCCCGGGGCGTCGGTAGGGAAGCCAAGGAAGGCGCAGCAAAGAGTGCGGGGAGAGAGCTTCCCCGCGGGGGGGTCGCGAACAAGCAAAAGGGCTTCCAACGCATCACCAACCTCGCCCGTCCACCGCAAAGCGGGAGAGGTCTCCGGGTGGGAGACACGGGGCCAGAGGTTGAGTTGCTCAGCAGCGTATTGGACCGCAAACGGCCACAGAAAATGGGGAGCAGCCGCATGGACGATGGAGATGCGAGCAACCTCCATCACCAAGCCAATGCGACGCTCTGCAATCCCATTCTGCTGTGGAGAGGCCGGAAGCGTGAACGTCTGGCGGATGCCCTCAGCACCACAGAAGTCCTCGAGGAGGCCGGAGGAAAACTCACCACCTCGGTCAGAGTGCAGTTGCAGGACCGGGAGGTCCTGCTGCAACCGAGCACTGAGCTGGCGACTGACAGCACAGATCCAGCAGATCAGGACACAGCGGACCTCCGCCTTGCTCTGCAAGGGGAAGACCGTGGTGTAGCGCTTGTAGTCGTCTACAACCAGCAAGAAGTAACGCTCTCCGCCATGTCCAGGGACTCGGGCTGGACCCCACACGTCCATGTGGAGGGTCTGCAGAGGAGCTGTGGTCGGAGGAAACGAGGAGGAGTGAGGAGCGGCGCGCTGCCGCCCCTCGACGCAGGGAAGGCACGGCGGCGCAAGCGACCTCGGGAGCGGGGGCAGGGACCTGGGGAGGCCAGACACAAGGAGACGGGAATGCATGCCATGCCTGCGTGGCAAGGAGGGGTGACCAAGACGGTGGTGCCAGAGGAGAGTCTGATGCGTGAGGAGACGACACGAGCAAGATGCAGCGACCTCAACCGACGCAGCTACCTGACCTGACTCAGCTACCTGTGCAGACTCAGTGGTCAGTGTGTACAGGTCAGACCCAGGCCTCCGAGTGAACGTGGCGAGGTGCTCACCAGTGCGCGAGTCCGTACAGATCGCCACTAGCTCGCCTCCAGGCTGGGTGATAGTGACCCACTGGTCCTGGAGGACAGAGGTAGCCACCAAGTTCTTAGCAAACGAGGGGAGGTGGAGACCTGTGAGGAGGCCGGAAGGGGCCGCTGGACAAGGGAGAACAGTGGCGCCACGCGCGACTACTGGGCCCCCGGAGGGGTCGGCCAGTGTGACAGGGACAGGGGCTGTGAGCGGTGTGACTGTGGTGCTGTCGCGGAAGAAGCAGCGAGACGCGCCTGAGTTTAGGGTAAAAGTGTGCAAGGCCTCCTCAGGCTCTGCCCCTGCGCTATCTGAGTCACACGCACCGAGTCTAGTAACCTCTACGCCACCAGGTGCCTCTACACCCCCAGTATGAGTACCCCGAAACCCTCCGCCACTGGGACTGCCCCACCGGACAGCCCACTCACGAAGCTGCTGCGGGGAGAGAGTCTCCAGCGGACGCTTCTGCTGCTGCTGTCCACCCCCAGAACCTCCGGGTCTACTAGCGGCACTACTAGCAGGAGTAGACTCACAGGTACCTCCAGTAGTAGCAACCCACCGGACAGCCCACTCACGACGCTGCTGTGGCGTAAGCGGCTTCCGCCGACGAGCACGGCTAGCTGCGCCACCGGGGCTGCCCCACCAGATAGCCCACTCGCAAAGCTGCTGCGGCGAGAGAGACTCCTGCACACTCGGCTGCCGCTAACATATGACAATGATAGTGGCCATGGTAGGCAGTGTCAGTCAGCAACAGCGGTGCAAGGTGTAAAGTAGCGACTGCAGTGGTGGTAGCTGTAACGGTAGGTGCAGTGGCAGCAGCAACTGTAGGAGCGTGCGCAGGCGGTAGCGGCAGTTGGCGGTACTCTCGGGGCAGGGCAGGAGCACGCAGGCAGCGCGAGCATGCAGGGCAGGTCAGCGCTGGGCAGCGTGCAGGGCAGCTCTGGCGGCAGCCAGGCAGGGCAAGGCAGCACTGGGCAGCGGGCAGGGCAGCGCTGGCGCGGACAGTGCAGGGCGCTGGCGCGGGCAGGGCGCTGGCGCGGGCAGGGCAGGGCGCTAGCGCGCGCAGGGCAGGGCGCTGGCGCGTGGCGCAGGCAGGGCAGGGCGCGTGGCGCGGGCAGGGCAGGGCGCGTGGCGCGCTGGCAGGGCAGGGCGCGTGGCGCAGGCAGGGCAGGGCGCGTGGCGCGCTGGCAGGGCAGGGCGCGTGTCGGGCAGGGCGCGTGGCGCGCTGGCAGGGCAGGGCGCGTGGCGCAGGCAGGGCAGGGCGCGTGGCGCGGGCAGGGCAGGGCGCGTGACGCGCTGGCAAGGCAGGGCGCGTGGCGCAGGCAGGGCAGGGCGCGTGGCGTGCTGGCAGGGCAGCAGACGGTGCGCGCGCGGGTAGGTGCAGGGCGCGCTGGCGGGGCACCGCGCGTGCGGGGCAGGGCGGCGCAGCTGCAGGCAAAGCGCGCGCGGGCGGGGCGGCGCTCAGGCAGGGCAGCAGGGCGCGCAGCAGCAGGGCAGCTGGGCGCGTGCGGGCAGGGCAGTAAGGCGCGCGCTGGCGCTAGGCAGCAGGGCAGAAAAAAAAATGTTTACAAGTCCGGGCAGGGCGGAACATTCGGTGGGCCCTAAGGAACGAACCTACTCTACCGTATTACCCCGGATAGTAGCGCATATGCGCTTATAATAAAATCAGTTTTTTTGGGGGGGGGCGCTTTTAATTGAGTATCGGCCATAAGCGCCGGCGCTTATATAATGACAAATACAGAAATACAACTTAAACGCATCAAATTGTACATTTCCGTCTCGTAAGTTCAATCGAGTCGACATTTTATAGCGTCCAGAATTTGAATCGCGTGAGGGCGAATCTCTGACGCTGCACATAGCTTTTCGCACGTCAATTTGCCCGCGTGCCACCTCATCCTGACTGGACGCGAAACCAGTCAGGACCTCGAAAGTCAAACAAAGTGAAAATGGGTGCTGACTCGCTTGAAAGTCGAAATTCGTTACTGTTTTAATCAGGATTGAAATAATAAAATGATGCATGCGCTTATAATAAATCAGGGTTTTACAGGGGGGGCACTTATAATCGAGGAACGGCCATAAGCGCCATGCTCCATATATAGGCGCCGGCGCCTTTAATCGGACGGCGCCTATATCCGGGGCCATACGGTAATACCATGTTAAAATATGGAATCAGGAATGAGGATTGACTAGGAACAAGGCAATACAAGTACAACCCTAAAAGGGTTGTACCCCCTATAGCTAGCATCACTATAGCCTATCAGAGTAGCATACACATATGTTTGACAACAGCCACGCGCTGAAGCCAATTGGCATGAATGCGTCGGGCGCCATGGCTAAGGCTAGCTGGGTCAAGGCGACAGCTGTCCTAACAGGTGGTACGGCTGACGAGGGCGGCCGGCTAGCAGTGAGCTGGTAGCGGCCGACTGGCGAAAGGCTGGCAGGAAGTTGGCGGCAAGCTGGCGGCTAAGCACTAGTGTAGGCTGACTGCTGGAGGCACAGGCTGGTTGCTGGTGGTCGCCTATTGCGCGGACGGCAGCAAGAGCGGCGACAGAGCATGCAGCAGGCACTAGCATGGCAGCGGGTGGCCGCAGGTGGCACGGCGCTGGCACGCAACTGCAGGTGAGTGGCTGGCGCGCAGTTGGCGTGCGCTGGCGGTGGGTTGGTGGCAAGCAGCAGGCAGTGCGCTGCTAGCGCGTGCTGGCAGCTTGCTGCTGGTGCGCGCTAGCGGCTGGCTGCGCACTAGCGTGCGCGCTGCGGCTGGCTGCGCGCTAGCGAGTGCGCGCTGGGGTGCTGGCGCGGGCGCGCTGGTGAGCGCGCTGGCGTCTGGCTGCGCGCTGGCTGCTACGAGCTGGCATGCTAAAAGGGGGGGGAGAGCTGGGGATGAGAGCTAGGGGAGAGGGGGGGGGGGGGACGGGGGGGGACGGGGGGTTGGAGGGCGGTTGGCGGCGGGCTGGCTAGGAACAAGAGGCGACGGGGCAGCGCTAAGAGGGGCGATGACATAGGGCGGCCTAGGGGCATGCGAGGTGGCGGACTAGGGTAGGCTAAGGTGGACGTAGTGGAAGCGAGGATCCAAAACCTACTCTCGAATGACATGCATGGGTATGATGGTTATGACGGAGGCAATTGCAAGATAGGTTGGTTACGATTGGGACAGGTGTCTGAATTTGGATGCGAGCGACCTCAATGGGTGGGTGTACAATATAGCTAAGGGTTGACATGACACCGTGTAAAGGCAAAAGCAATCAATATCTACATGCAGTGCTTTATTGAACAACAACGAAGCAAGGCACCAGCCAGCAACACTTCAACAAAACCAACAATAAATAAGAAATGATGTGCTTCCCCCCCCCTGGCAGGCACAGTAACAGCCACACTCTTGGACAGCAGTGCTGCTTCTCAATCACCTGAATTGACCACCCAACCCGAGCACTGCACGAACACCAGCAGCACACCCTGCTGCTTGATAGCTGGCTGTCTTGCTCCTTCACAGCGGGTGCTGCCACGGCCACGGAGCGACAGAGCTTGACAGCATCTGTTTGTCACCCTGTGACCGCACCCACCCCTCTAGATGTGATACACCTGCACGGATGCCAGCAGCTCGTCCTGCTCCTTCACAGCTAGTGAAGAGCTTGGCACCTGTCTTGCAAAAACACAACCCACTAGAGGTCGTACCCATGCTGGACAGAAGCAGCAGCCTCTCTAGGTGTCATACACCTGCACTGATGCCAGCAGCTCATCCTGCTCCTTCACAGCCGGTGCTGCCACAGCCAATGGAGCGACAGAGCTTGGCATCAATGTCTTGCCTCCCTACAATCACACACACCCCACTAGATGTCATACACCTGCACTGATGCCAGCAGCTCATCTTGCTCCCTCACAACAGGCGCTGCCACGTCCACGGAGCGACAGAGCTTGACAGCATCTGCTTGTCACGCTGTAACCACACACACCCCTCTAAATGTCATACACCTGAACGGACGCCAGCAGCTCATCCTGCTCCTTCACAGCCGGTGCAGCCACGGCCACGGAGCGACAGAGCTTGACGGCGTCGGCGGGAGTGACAAAGAGCCACTGCTCGCCCATCTCTGCTAGGAAGTTGGCGTCCCACAGCTTGCGAAGGACATCCCTTGATGCACTGGCCAAGCAGAGCTGGAAAGGGGCTGAGATGGGTGAGGATAGTGGGAGGGGAGTGAGGCGAGTGAGGGGGAAGGTAAGAGCCACTGCTCGCCCATCTTGGCGAGAAAGTTGGCGTCCCACAGCTTGCGCAGCACGTCCCTTAATGCACTGGCCAGGCAGAGCTGGGAGGGAGTGAGGGTAAACGGGGGTGAGGTGGGGTGGAAGTGGTTGAAATGATGGAGGGGCAAGGCAAGAGCCGCTGCTCGCCCATCTCGGCCAGGAAGTTGGCGTCCCATAGCTTGCGGAGGACATGTTGTGATCCACTGGATAGGCAGAGCTGCGGGAGGGAGGAAGGGGTTGGGGGTTGGGTCGAAATGGTTGATAAGAGGTGGGAAGGGGTTGTGGTGGGTGACGAAGAGCCACTGCTCGCCCATACAGGCCAGGAAGTTGGCGTCCCACAGCTTGCGCAGCACGTCCCTTGATGCACTGGCCAGGAGTAGCCCCACCAGCAGGAGTTGTAGTACTTCTCTTGCTACTACTAGTAGCACAAGTAGCACTGATGATCAAGTCATGGACGATCTCCGGCTCTACACGGCCAAGCTGGCGGATTTCGGCATCTCGGTGCGCCTGCGCGTCGATCAAGAAGCAGTGGGGTACGGCGGAAGCTTCCCATACGAAGCTCTCGAGATGATTGCTGGAGAGGCGTATGACTGTAGCGCGGATATCTGGAGCCTAGGGGTTACCCTCTATGCTATGCTGTCCGGGTGCTGGCCGTCTTTTGATGGTGGGGTGCGGCGATTGGATGAGAGCAGGGACTGGGAGGATTCCTGCTGGTGGTTTGTGTCTCAGAAGGCGAAGAATCTCGTCCGTCGGATGCTGTCAGTGGATCCTGAGATGCGACCGACGGCCGAGGAAATTTTGCGATCCCTGGGTGAGGGGTCAAGGCGGAG